TACATATGTGAAAAAAAAAAGTTCCAGAAAATTTTYCTTTTAATTAAATGGTCTGAAAATAAAAAAAATAAATATCAAAGAGTTAGTGAGAAAGCTGCAATTTAAATTTAAAAAAAAGCTATTTTAGTTTTTACATGAACTCGGTATAAATTTTGGCTAAAAAAAAAGCTATTTTTAGCAATCAAGCATCTGTCACGCAAAGGCCCAAAAAAAAACATCAATTCGCGATTTTCTTGCGAAAAATGAAATATTTTCAAAAAAAAATKRCACAGYGATTGTTACCTAATCATACCTTATCAATATACAAAAAAAAAATAGATTTGATTTTTCGAGCCTTGCCAAAAAAWTTCAGTTTTGTCTGGTTTTTGCGCGAAGCAGCTCTTAAATGGTCAGCCCTTATTGGAAAAAAAACTTATGCATTATTAATAAGTTTTATAATATATGCTATTTAAAAAAAAAACCCTTGAACATCGTTAAATCTAAACTTCCTGTCCACACTGTCTGGTAAAATTTCTTTTTGATTTGTTGTCACTACATGATCAAATAAAACAACTTAGAAAAAGATACCTTGCTCTGTATTTTGGGTGGATCAGTATGGAAAAAAAAATAAAATTGTCAATGACAAGTCATCAAGTAGATAAAAATGAACTCACTTTTCATCTGCAGTTGAGCTTCAATCACGGACAGAATCAAAAACAATGCAATCAAAAAGCGAATAGTATTCCACATCTGTTCCTTGAAGAAGGCTCCTGTTAAAAGTGACCGATCCATGTGAGCATTTTATTAGTGAATTTAAAAAAAAAACAGTTTTGTTAAATTAAACACCTTTTAAGAACAAACTAGACACGTAACTGTGTGTTGATAATCACCTAGATTTTAATTAAACTTAAAATAAAAAAAATACATTTATTTTAAAAGATAATTTTCAAACATTTTCGAACTAAAAAAAAATCATTACAAATAAACAAAATTAACATATTGTACAGATTTAAAAAAAAATCAAGTGATCCCATAGGGGAAAAGTGTTAGATGGCATGCTTAAAAAAAATTACTTAGTGTTGGTTGGAAAATTATCATTTAAAATAAATGAAAAAAAAAAATTTTAAGCATAACTATGTGAACTTGCACTTTAAATATTAAAAAAAATAAAGCAGTACAAGAATCATTCACGATTCTCTCGTAATACTAAAAAAAAAAGTAATCTATCTCCAAGTTTGGGGAAGGTTTTGCCCCAAAAAAAAAAAACATTTTCTAAACACTTGTCAGCCATTATTGTAGTGGACCATGCAGTTCAACATTTCATTATGCGCAAGACTACTGCTATCATAGTTGAGTACGCATGCACTAATTTTGGTCATTTTGGTGCGGAATGAGGAAAATAATAAAAAAAATAACACTAACGATATTGAATTTCTAACTCGCTACTTTTGTAAAAAAAAATACTAACATAAAAAACTTAATGTATTAAGAAAACAGTGTTTTTGGACACCTTTTTGACTTTGAACAACAACATGAAGTGGACTTTCTTCACCACCATCATATCTTAGATTTTTGACTTTTCTAGAATCAAAGTCAATGCAAAAAAAAAATCCAAACTGGCTTGTTCTTGAAATCTGTATAACAAAAGATAACATAAGTGTAACTCACTAGTCAATTGAAACCCCTGCCCCCAGAGCTAAAAAAAAACGGAACTGGGAGGTGATGCGTTTTAACGTGCTTTTAACAGAAAAAAAACCCCGGATTTTGATGAATTGCTTTCAGAGCGGGGCAAAGAGAAAAAAAATTAACACACGTTTGAAAATGTATGAGAAATACCCTGAAAGCATTGGTATCCAACCCTGTTTTTTTATGTGTTTATTTTTTCTTGCATGAAAATTTAAAAGAAACTTATTACACATGTTTTTCTCTGTTCAGTTAGCCTCATGTAGTATGCAAATGAGTATACAGGTTGTGCAAAGATTGACCCTGTGTAAAAAAAAAAATTGGTTGAAAGGTGTTTGTTTTGTTATTTACTACTACATTTACCAAAAAAGTGGGGCCACAGTAGTGAGGATTTTAACAATGAATGTAAAAAAAACTACCAGGGGAAATATCTGAAAGCTAAGTTCTATTGATCTTCCTTCTAGTATATACAAACCAAAACATAATAGCTCCATTATTTTAATAGACTTCTGAACCTGTTACGTCACTACTTGATTTTCAATGCATTGTGGGATCAGTTTCAAGAGAAAACAAAAGAAATCCACCATGTTCTGTCCCAAATATAAAAAAAAATGCATTGTGTATACGGTACATGATGTAAAAGCTGCAGAGGAAAAAAAACACTCTAATTATCTGTAACTGTAAAAGCATCACTTTTAATGAAAAAAAAAAAATTAGCTCACTACTCAAGTTAAATTCAAGGAAAACAAAAAAAAAAAACAAAAATAATCTATTCACACAGGCAGTGGGATCATCTGTTAAAAAAAAACAACTCACCCTTTCAAGGTCTTCAGCATCTACTCTCTCTGTAAGCACTAAGGCCTTGATTGACAAACAATACAAAAATATTATTAATAAAAAAAAAAAATGACCTATAGGTTACTTGATGATTTTAAACCTCTCATGCAATAAAAAAGGATTGCTAATTCACAAAATTGTTTTCTCTTTGAATAGGAAATAATTAAGTTCTATTTATTTTCTTTTATGAAATATTTCGTAATCTTAGTTAATTTGTTTTATGGTTTAGTGCAGTATACTCATTACCTTTGGTTCAAAAAAAAATTACATTATTCATAATATTCAAAATATTCATAGTACTCAGGGTTTAGTTATCACATATCATAGAACTACGATGTCAAGGTACACCAAGCGTAAGATTCATTTCAATGCTTTGTTTGTGGTCACAGAACCTGATGTGTGAAAAAAAAAACTTGCCATAACTTGGTGTAACTGAGACGAGCAGCAAACACAAAAAAAAAATGTTTATTAATTACCTTAAGATATTCTCTCTTCACAGAAAAAAAAAAAGCATAACGACCACTTTCATATCTCCTAACTACATAATGGGGATCTTGCAAGACCATTTCCTATGATATATTGAGTCACTGATTACTTGTCATAGTGTTTCAATATTTTGCTCTGAATTACAGTTTCTTATAACTTTGTATCAACTGCAGGAAAAACCAAAATAGCTGCACAATGGGAACTAAGTTATATCAAAGTCCTTTGAACTTTTTGTTGTGTTGTTRTTGTTGTTGTTTTTTAAAAAAAACTTTGGGTGGCATTTATCAATTTGCTGAAGTTTAATTCTGTATACATCTGATTACATGAGACCGATAAATCACCTCATTTTTGCTTTCTAATTGTTAATTACATTTCAAACGCCGTACCATAATCTGAATTTTCATGTAAAAAAAAATGAACTAGATATAGATGACAGGATTAGTGACATAACATAAAAAAAAAAATGTGCAGCATTATTTACCTTGAGGTAGTCTGCTTGTGCTTTAAAAAAAACATTTTCAGTATTGGCTCTTTCTTCTAATAACTGGATTCTGAAAAAAAATCCAAAGTGCACAAATCTTTTCATATTAGCTAGTAGAAACAATTAAACATATTATACAGATTTGCTTTCACTAGCCATGGTTTATTATTGAAAAAAAAATTAAAAGGCCTTTTCAACTGCAAAAATCCAGATAAAGCTGTTATATAAGGATTGCAAGGTCTTGGGTACAAGTCTGAAAATCCTAGATTCAGCCAGAATCACAATAATTAGTTTAACAACCAAGCTGGCAATGGCAGCACAACTCAACAGTATAGTATAGTATTGGACAAAAGTGTGGATGCAAGTCAAAAAAAAAAGAGGTACATTGTAGGTTACTTTTGATAAAAGAATAAAAATTAAAGACATTAATCATAGTGAAAAGTAGTTTTTACAACAGAATTATGAAACAGAAAAAGAACTTTAGTCAACTAGTGTGGAAATTCTACAACTGTTAAAAAAAAAGAAATGTGCAAAAAATAGTAATACCATTTAGAGGGCACACAAAAAAAAATGCATAACAYGTATTAATGAATGGGTACCCTTGTTACAGCAAAAAAAAAATTTGAAGCTAATGTTTTAGTTATCCCAGTTTAAGGTTATTAAAAAAAATACATTACTGTCTCTAAAACCTAACCCTCAACACAAGAATGAAAAAAAAATAATTATAAGCAAATTATTTAACCTGTATTATGTTATATTAAAAAAAATTACCTACCATGTTTATTTTTGTAAAAGGAGTTTGAAGAAAAAAAAAAAACAAACCAAGGCTTAGTGTCAGGCTGGGCTTTGACATTCAAAAAAAAAACTATCTGTCTTGTCCAGTCTTTTGGTAAATGATCAAGGCCTAGATCATTCATGGTTGGGTGGTACATTTGCTGCAAAGAAAACGTTTCCAATAAAATGAATTTCCCTACTTGGTAAATAATTATCAGTGGGCACTCTTGAAAAAAAAATGGACTACCATACTTACAGGGCTAGAAATAACTATGGGACAAAAAAAAATGGAAGACACTTGATGTTTTTCCAAATACATTTTGAGTTGAAAAAAAAGTATTACATGTGATAGGCCAAGTCAAACTTGGCAGTAAGAGAAAAAAAACGAGTCTAATTATTTCTTAATTGTTCTGTGTACATGCAGTCAAAAAAAATATTGATTAYATATCCACATATCATTCCAGCAACTGTCCAAAAAAAAAAATAACTATACATATTTAAGATTAACAATTGGACATGCAGCAGCTAATGAAATTTTGATTTTACCTCAAGGTTGACATTGTCATTTTCTGAAAAAAAAACATCAGTTTGCTCGTGCAGAGTGGTTGTACTTGTCACCTTCCACCGTGTATTTTGTCTATATGTCAAATGACGAGCAACATTTTTTGTTCAAAAAAAAATTGTTGCCACACCAGAAATTAAACCACCAAACTGGGATAGAAAATAACTGTTTCAACTTAAAGTCAAGAAAAGCATGATTATGAAATCAAAAAAAAATCACTTMTCAACAACAAGAAAAAGAAGAAACGTCAAAAAACTACTCTATTCCAATTAACCCCATTTTAAATAAAATCGATATTTCTAGTCAAAAAAAAAACATCAACATACAAGTTAACCTAATTAAGTAGCATTCAGATAAAATGAAAGTCTATTAAACTAAAAAGACTATTGCCATGGCACGATTCACTCTTGATATGAATCGATTTCCACCCTTAAAATTAGTCGTTGACTTGAAAAAAAAAAAAATTTGAATACCAAGACTTACTTGAGGAGTTATTCCACTAGAATAGAACATCATTTTTCCAAATTATATGAAAAATTCAGGATAAAAGACGTTTTAAAGACAGCACAGCACTTCACAACTCATTGCATCATTGAATTTGGTAGGTCTATACCGCTGACAAACAGATTAGCCTGGAAAGGAAACACAGGCATCCCAGTCACTTGCCTGCTCGGTAAACGGGAGGCATCAGACGATATTTTTTAAATTCTATTCTAATACGTGAAAGCAAGAATGTGTTATTTTCAAAAAAAAATTGTATTAATTAATTAATAAAAGAAATATCGAGCCAAAAAAAAAAAAAACTTTCTCAATACCCCAGTTTCAAATTCGCTTTTGTGCAATCAAAAAAAAGTTTTATTGTCTTCTTTAATTTTCATTACAATAGAATTTCTAAAAAAAAAAAGAATACATTACGTGCTTTTGAGTACAAGACTGCACAAATATATCTCGAAACTGAATTGTAGCCGACTTTACGCTCTTAGAGCATCTAGCCCAAAATAGCAAAATTCCGTAAGATTTAAATAAATTTATGTTTAAAGAAATGTTTAAACGTCCAAAGAAAAGTATACTTTATAATTATCGAAGTTTTTTGTACATGGACCAACTTAGCAGCACCAACCACAACATAAATAAATTTATGTTTAAAGAAATGTTTAAACGTCCAAAGAAAAGTATACTTTATAATTATCGAAGTTTTTTGAGCAGCACCAACGACAGCAGACTTTATAATTATCGAAGTTTTTTGTACATGGACCAACTTACTATTCAGTTTAAAATAAATCCTTGCTTTAAAAAAAAATATTAAATGGTAGAATAACTTTCGCTAATGCATTTGACATAAAAAAAATATCAGTAAAAAAAAAAAAACAAAAAAAAAAACAGGCCAAAAAAAAAAATGATTTATTGATAAACAAGGTTCTTCTTGTTCTTATTTGAAAAAAAAAACCACACAAGATTGATTCAGTTTCATAAAAAAACTCTTGATGCGATTTACACATGCACGTGCTTCTGTAAAGAAATGCATCCCGATGACATCACAAATACCACATTTGTAAACGAATAGCTTTTTGATTACATAAAAGCGAAAAAAAACATTTATGCAATTAGTAACGCAGTTCGTACATTAGTTGCTCAAAAAAAATTTAGGTTCTCAAATCTCAAATATTTCTTAACTTCTGGGGTCCAAAAGCGATGCAATACACAGATAGACAGATAGATAGATGGGCCAGACCTGGTCTGGATCAGATCTGCAAATTTGTGAGGGAGTTCTGTGTCTACACAAAAAAAACTCATAAGCTCAACCTCTTAGCATTGTTGGATATAGGGAATTCTTATATGGTATTCAAGAATACATAGAAGCAAAACCCATTTTCAAGTCAAAAAAAAAAAAAAAGAGAATGCTATCTTGACATCATTCAAAATCTATAAAAAAAAAAGTACACTGGATTTTATTGTATACATTGTAAAATTACATTGAAAAAAAACTTTATACATATTTCATGTCATCTTGGCATAATTCATCAGAAAAAAAAAACCCAGTTGTTGAAAAAGACTCAACACAAAATGTATTCACGAAAAAAAAACTCATAACTGTGACAATGCCTTGGTATGAGTGTGATGAATAAAAAAAACATGAATGTGAATATTCCAGCTGTAACTTAGTGCTCCCCTCAAAAAAAAAATCATACCCATGACAACTTTGTTTGAGTCAAATTAAAGTAAAAAAAAAAAAAATAAACAAAGTTTGAACCTTATTTTTGGAACTAGCATAAAAAAAATATCAACCATTCCTTTAGCTATGGGACTGACATCCCACAACAAAAAAAATGGCTGTACCAAGTAATAAGGAACCAACAACTGAACTGCTTATTCCAAAGGTATAACATTTATAAAACAACATGAAGTTTTCTTGTGATGCACGTATATTAACAACATTATATTAACCCCTATTAGACCAATCAGAGTAAAAAAAAACAGTCACATGCATGACCTTTATAGTGCATATAACACAGCTAGTGGTTTCCAGCAGCATATTCTACTATATAAAGACACATCAAACATTCTCACTGCGCTCAAGACAATGCTGTTCGTTTTTTATATGTTTATACATAGAATATAATTCAAAAAATGTTATGATGATAAATATGCATTAAATAATACAAAAAAAAAAGCACACTGCTCACCTGATAGAGAATTTCTTAACCTTATTAATTACATACACTATTTAAAGTTAAATAGGACAAATGCATTTAAGAATAGAATGTAAGAACACTTGTTTGATTTCCTCTGACTAAGAGTACAGGTGGTAGAAAAAAAAATAGCACTTCAAGCCAGCTCAGGTACATCAAAGGTGAAGTCACATCAGCTATAGGTACTGGAAGTGAAACTATAACCAGTTTTGCTTCCTTGGAGCGCTCACGGATAAGTTCTCCTATACGTATCATGCGCAAAACCTTTTGATCTGTTATGTCTCCTTCTTCAAGCTCTTCCTTGACTGGTAAGTTTTTGAAGGCATCAAGACTTTCTTTGCATGGTTTAGTGTTAGCACCAGGGACTTGGTCAACACAACTGGCAGTGATTCTGAATTTCTTCATTAACTTGGCCATATTAATTTCAAGAGACTTGATGGTGTGCTTTGAGCGAATATTAACTGAAAAGATCCTGAGCTGACATCCACTCCATAGTCTATGTTGACTGAGTAAAAAAAAAAATAGAACAGTTAGACCACCATCATCATACAGCCACCAAACAAAAAAAATGCCTTGCTGCTTATCTTGGAAAGCAAGTTCAGAATTGCTTAAAAAAAATTTAATCGTTCCTTGAATTGTTTCATTGGATCCAACATCATCATTGCCATCCGATTCTGATTCAGAACTAGCTCCATCTTCAAGATCAATAAAAAAAATCTCACCCATACGTAAAAGTACTAACCCAAAATTTCGATCAAAAATGTCATTAATGATCCCAAAGTAGTCTGCAATGGCACTCTTTGATGAAAAAAAACAATCCTTTTTAAAACCAAGTACTACTGTATTGGGTTTCATTTTTCCAAGACCACACAAATCAAGCATATTCTGAACTCCTGTCCGTAAATTTGGAGCTAAAAAGAAATGAAAACGACATTCAAACAATTACCAAAAGAAGGAAGAAACCTGATGTGATATTTTGAATGTCTGTGTTAACTCACATTGACTACTTTACACAAACAAATTACATGTACCCCATAGGCGATCATGGCCCTTTTAAAATGGTAAAGAATAATTGCCAAAAATGAATAATTGCTGAAGATGATTGCTCACATTAGTTCTAATTTGCTTGTTTCTGTGTCGATATATAGGAAAAAAAAGGTTATTCTTGTTACAGTATGAATGTTTTGGATGGAAAGATGACTGGGCAAAGGATAATCTCAAGATCTCCGGGACTGATAAGATGAATTAAAAAAAAATCGCTCAGAAAAAAACATCTAGATGGATTAATAATAACCTAAAAAAAAAGTATACATATGAGAGGGTACATCACAAAAGGGGTCTTGTGAAAAAAAAGAAAATCCAGTCTTCCAAAAGACGCAATTAATTCACTAGCTAAAAAAAAAGGGTCTTAATTCTTCAGCCTCCTTTTGTGCTGTCCCTTCTAAAAAAAATCCTAACTCCAAGCAAGGTCATCAATCAACGTCAGCTTTTTAAAAAAAAAATTTTGGCTTTTATGACCAAGAAAAAAGGAAACTTCGGGCAAAAAAAACGGCTGTATTGTCCAGGTGCATGAAGGTCAATAGGTGTTGTAAAAAAAATGCGCAGCATCGGTTGATTTGTGTCTTGTGTGCTGTGCATAAAAAAAAATCAGGCCAAGATGAGAGGGTACATCACAAAAGGGGTCTTGTAAAAAAAAGGAACATACAGTCTTCCAAAAGACACAATTAATTCACTGGCAAAAAAAAAAGGGTCTTAATTATTAGCCTCCTTTTGTGCTGTCACTTCTAAAAAAAAATATATATATACATGTTTGCTGAAGAAGTCTGAAGTGCCGAAAAAAAAAACAGAACAGAATTATTATAGCTTCAAGTTGGTGTTTTGTTTAAAAAAAATCAACATATATATATAAGATGTATAATCTATTTACCTGTTGTTACTGATCGAAAAGCCTTTATGTTGCAATCTTGAAGCCATTTAGTGTCTTCAATGGAATCTTTTTCTGGTGGTATGGTGCCAAACTCGCCTTTGTAAAAAAAAAAATATAACATAAGCCCAACATTCTTACTCATGTGAGAAACGATTTTAAGCAAATGAGGACGTTCTACAGGTCTCCCTGACAGAACCAGAAATTGTGGTCGGTAGTTTTTCACATGGTCTTCTTGTTTCTCAAGTCTTAATAAAAAAAATAGAGCTGTCATGTATGTGTTTGCCTGTCCAGATGAACCCCAAAAAAAATAATTTAGAAATAAAAAAAAAGTCAAATTAAGCAGAGTATTAAAAAAAAGCACGATAGTTATAATTTATTGTCTCAATCAGTACCACAGTAAGGTTAATCTTTCAACTTTGAGGGTGGAATATCACTGTTTTTAATTTATCATATATTGTTTTTCCTCTAGATGTCATGGCATTTTGTAGAAAAGGATGAATTATGCCAAGAATGAAGAGATAATGCATAATGTGACATGAATCCCTGGCAAATTGCTTACATTTGGTTTTTTGTAATCCACAAATTTATACAAGCAAAAAAAAATGAGTAGAGTAAGCAGAGCAGACCACCACTTGATCAGGAACATGATTACTAAGCACAGTACAGCCCCAACAAGAGACACCCACATGTTATAATATTTGAAAGATGGTCGCCATCCAGGAGATCGTCCAAATGATGCTGCAAATGTTGCATAATTGATAAGAGCATAAACAATTAGGAAGAAATTTGAAATGATTGGAGCAATTGCATTCAAATCTCCAATTGCAATAAATGCAACAAAAAAAAAAAAAGTCAGCATGTATCCACGGCGTGGTTCATTGCCAGGGCCATGACCAACTGCAAAAAACTCAGTTTTGGGGAATACTTTGTCTTTGCACACAGCTTGGAATGTCTTGGGTGCACCAACAAAACTTGCAAGGGCTGACGATAGTGTTGAAGCAAAAATCCCTGCAGTCACTATAGGTCCCCAGCCAGAAAAAAAATCCATGATCTGTTCAACAAAGCAATAACTATCAAGGGAAGTTAAAGAATTCACTACATAATGTGATCGGAAGGAAAATTTGATTTCAATGAAAAAAAACTGTATAATTAGTTCTATAGAATTGCTTTACCTGAAAATCATTAAGAAGTCCAAATTTACAATTTGGAAATGTACATAAGATATCATGTGTTGAATTGGATGTATTAGTAACATTGTATACAGCAGCAGCAATAATTCCAAAAAAAACTCGGAGGTATACTGCACCAACTAGCCAAGCTAACATGATGAAAAAAAAGGTGCTGATTAAGATAGCTACAAGGGTTCCTTTTGGAACTGCAGAATTTACATTTTTTAGGTCACCAGAGATATTGACACCAGCCAGAATAAAAAAAACTGCAGGAAAGAAGACAGCAAATACCGAAAAGAAACTTTCTCCTTGAAATCCTGGTTTCATGTTCAATGAGAAAATATCCATTTTATAACCTAAAAAACCCTGTGCTTTGCTTTGAACACTCTGTGGTCCAATAAATGTACCAATGACTACATCTAGAATAGAAATTACTAATATTGCTAGAAGAAAAAAAAAAAAACGAACAACCCACTCTAGGCCAACAAGAGTCACCCCAAACAAAAAAAAAACAGTAATAATGCCAATAATTCGAATATCATTGACTTCATCAATCATCAGAGCATTGTTGTCTCTCAATAGGTCACGCACTGTTTCTGAGAAAAAAAAAACATACATGGCAACTGCAACAGCACTAGCAATGGAAAATATTACTCCAATTGAGCCACCAAACTCTGGACCTAGAGTCCTTGAGATAAGAAAAAAAACACCACCTATGGCATAAAAACAAAATTTATTGTTACACCAATTACTTGAGTTTATACATATTAGGAACAGGGTTCTGTTAATTATTTTTGATTACAATTTTGATAACACATTGTACATACCCCCTTTTACTTCTCCGTTAGTACAAATGGCAGACATTGACAATGTTGTTAATACTGTAACAACAGCAAAAAAAAAAATAATAGCTGTAGCCATTGCAATTCCTGCTTGACCAACAAAAAAAAAAAGACGTAGATACAGCATTACTCCCCAGATATTCAAAAGACAAAAAAAAAAGACTCCTTTAATCCATCCAAACTTTGGGGCTGTTATTGTGGGACCACTGATTTCAATATTCTCAATTTCAGGTTTCTGCTCTGTCTGCTCATCCTCCATTAATGGCTATCAAAACAAATGAAACATTTCCACACTATACATGTAGTAACGTATTTTGGATAGTTTGGAATTGGTTAGTTTGATACTCAAAAAAAAAATTATCAAATGATATCTCTTGTTTCCCCAGAGGTGTCATAAAAAAAAATTACCCTTTATTCAAAAATTCAAAATTCTGTTTTCGAGTCTTTTCAAGTCAGAGAGTCAGAGACAAAATTGTGTCTGCAATATGTTTTTTTGTCCACTAACTTCATTATCATAATTACTTCTTAGTATTAGGTTTTTTACTATATTATTTCATTAATTTTCATGTAATTTGGCTGCTTTGTAAAAATAAAAAAAAAATATCTATCTATCTGAGCCCAAGCCTCTGTCTGAATGAGTGAAAAAAAATGGCAATTGTGAGCTTCCGAGCCAAAAGGATTTTAAATCTGAAAAAAAATCTTCTAAGCACCAAGCTTGCTAGCCTTGGGAAACATTTGGCGAGCCTAGCGATTTCTGAGACACCATTCTATACCCCTATCTGATAATTAAAAAAAACTTCATTTTATGGATTTCATTCTATGAAGCTGTATAGTTTCAAAAAAAAAAGCTCAGAACTCAAAAATGCAATATCGAATACATTTCAAACACTTTTAGACATAATCTACATTTAATGAGCTTTCAGAAAATATATACTAAAAAAAACATTTGCAGCAAAATAAAAGTGTTGTAGTCCCCCTGTGATACAAGTAGGGGACTGTAGTTTGGGTACCGTAAATGATCTAATAAACGCCCCTTTTCTAATTAATGCCTGCTATCTAATGAACGCTCCCCTTATGGTTACAAGTTTGTATTAAACGCCCTCTCTAACAAACGCCCCCTGTCTATTAAACAAAAAAAACCTCTCCGTGTCACCATCTATCACTAGAAACAAACAACTTAGGATAGGAATTCCATTAATATTAATCAATTTAATTGTCTTCTTGCTTCAAAAAAAAAGGTAAGTGAGTAACGTCTTGTTCAATTTCTAGTTCAAAATTAAAAAAAAGTTCTTCAATTCTTCTGATTTCATTGCTTAGTATATCAGCAATTTTCTTGCGTTTTGTCCTAGCAGTGTAGCTCCCACTCGCTCCCAGGAACTACAAGGCCTACTTCCCTTTTTTTAGAAGTTATAAGTCATAACATGCAAAAAAAAACATTTTTACAGTTTTATTTTAGAATAAACGCCTCTCTCGAAAAAAAAACTCCTGTCTATTAACCCCCCCTCCCTCCCCCTTGGACCATTAAAAAAAAATAAACGCCCCCAGCGTTTATAAGATCATTTACAGTATGCTAAAAAAAAAAAGCATATTTTGCTAAAAACTTCAAGATAAAATATTTCATTTCAGTAGAAATCCAAGATACAAATCAGGACAAATCTCTTACTCATAATAAAGATTCAATTCTTCTGATTTCATTGCTTAGTATATCAGCAATTTTCTTGCGTTTTGTCCTAGCAGTGTAGCTCCCACTCGCTCCCAGGAACTACAAAAAAAAAATCCCTTTTTTTAGAAGTTATAAGTCATAACATGCGGTACATAAAAAAAATACAGTTTTATTTTAGAATAAACGCCTCTCTCGAATAAACGAAAAAAAACTATTAACCCCCCCTCCCTCCCCCTTGGACCATTGAAATTTAATAAACGCCCCCAGCGTTTATAAGATCATTTACAGTATGCTGATACCTTAAAGCATATTTTGCTAAAAACTTCAAGATAAAATATTTCATTTCAGTAAAAAAAAAAGATACAAATCAGGACAAATCTCTTACTCATAATAAAGATTAAAAAAAAGAAATTTTTTTGCTTTATGATGCACCTGATGAATTGTTAATAAAAAAAAGAATAAAATGTTTTATCTTAAATTATCAGAAGTTTTAGATGAAAAAAAAATCCTTGTAAGAATTAAAACTTACACATGGAAATCTATATTTTTTGATAAGTCTGTTGTGTGTAAGCTGTAAGATGTGATCGTCACAGTGAAAGAATAATAATCTAATTATTATCAATATATCGACCGAAAAAAATTGGGCCTTCTGTTGTATTTTGATATTTGTATCCTATGTGAATAAATTATTAATTATTATTCGTTATTTAAGCTGAAGTTATTGAATAACTTCAAAATGTAAAAAAAAAATAAAAACAAACCATTAACTTATTTAAGGAACTAAGCTTTTTAAAAAAAACGTGTGCTTGCCCCCTCACAAAAATGCAACTATACTAAACTTACTTAGCTCTCACTTAATAAATAAACTTACTTGAAAAGGTGAATCACTTTCTAGTCCTCTTCTTAGTTCTTGGAGAGTTGGTCTTTTCTTGCTGGCTAAAAAAAAAGTAGAACTTGTGTTCCTGTAGAACATCGTCATTGGTACTGAAAAAAAAGTTATATAACCTTGAGTAAAGTTTTCGTTATGTGGACTCTCGGGTTGTTCAGAACTTTCCATAYCAATTTCTTCTTGGTCTTGAGATGGTAAAAAAAAAGTGAAATTAACTTGACGAACGCGAAAACGATCTTTGGGTCAAAAAAAATCCTTATTTGAAATTGTGCCTTCGTCGTTTTTGTTAAGAAATTCTGCTTTAAAAGCTTTCGAATTTTGTACATTCGTCATTTTCCCGAAAGGATGAAGCAGTTAAAAAAATATAAAGCTTATAGAAAACGTACCTAAAGTCAAAAGCACAATCATTAAGCTTAAATAACGAAAGGTCATCGATCATTGGGTAGAGACACAGGAAGCCCACCAATGCAGCTCGTGGATTAACATGAGTAAGGTAATTTTCCTTCTCCTTATCTGTGAAAATTGCAAAAATGTTATTCTTGTCCATTGAAAACAACTTGTAACATTTGAAAGGGAACTTCTCCGTGAAAAAAAAACGGCACCCCAATCCCTAGGCAACTGGCAAGGCAGTGGCGGAAAAAAAAATTTTCAAAGGGGRGTTCCATCTTGTTTTCGCATTTTCCTAAAAAAAAAATTTTTACTGTGTCTCTCGAACTGTAGCAAATGTAACGTTAATGTAGTTATAGATCGATAGCGCATCTCTCGTAAGGGCCCTTAAGTCTCAAAAGGCTTTACAGTTCTGTGTGCGTACATTGCAGCCGGCATGTGGCAAAAGTGTAGCCGCTTACCTTGTAAGATATAAGCCTGCTTCACCCTTTCGGAAAAAAAAATGTACTATACGTTTTCATTTTATTTGATTTATTATATTTATTTTTTGATTTTTTATGCTCGAGGGGGGTTCCTTGGAACCCACGGAACCCCCCTGGATACGCCACTGCAAGGAGGAAAACCAGTCCGCTATTTATAAGTAAAAAAAACGCATTTTACTACTCTCAGATCGCAGTCATGGCTAAAAAAGTTCAAAGCAAAGTTCTTCGTTAAGTGAACTCAACAAAATGCACATGTGAAAAAAAAATGTTCCGTTTTATAGTCAGTAGCATCGTGAATATGCAAAGGCTCACCAGCGTTTCAAATGGTGTTTTCCGATACAATGGAATTAAATTACAGTATGTAATTTGAAGTACAAAGTGTAGAGATTGTTATGCTTACTTGAAGTCAATAAGATTTCCGATTTATAGTTCTCTTTGTATGTAACATTTTTAATGGAATAATGGGTTTTAGAAAAACGCTAAAAACTAAAACCATTAATTAGCCTGATTATTGTGAAACATGCACAACACATTTTTGAAAGACACGGTTTCAAAAAAAAGAAAACAATGAGAGTATATATTAAATGGGATAATTGGTTCGCTCCTCGGCTTATTGAAAATAATGACCTCGCCCTGCGCGCTCGGTCATTATCCTATACATAAAAATGACATTATACTCAATCAGTCTTTCTGTATATTAAAAAAAAAATTATAAGCTCGCGATCACCACATCTATGTGGTAATCGCAAAAAAAAAATTTAGTGATCGCGAAGTCACAAAGCAGACATGCGCAGTTAAAAAAAAATATCTTTCCCCGCGAGTCCCCTCTATTTAAGCGACTGGCGCTATCGTAACACCGGAAAAGATTAAAAATTTGTTTATATGATAAATAAGTGGACAAATTCTAAAGTGGTGATGATTTTAGTTTAAGCATAAGTCTTCATGACTAAAAAGAAATCTAATTCAAATATAAAAAAAATTGTATAGACAGGTAAATCGTAGTCGTCCACCACTGGCAAGTTACCATGAATGCGGTTATTAGTGATACACTAGGTTTTATCGCGTTATTGTTTAGTTACCATTGGTGCATTAAAAAAAAAAGAAAGGTAAATGAAGATTGACTCAAGTATATGAGGATTGACAACACAAAGGACGACAAACAAGAAAAACCCACCCCCACCCCCTTGTAGTTTGTAGGACATTTCATTTGACTTGGAAAAAAAGTTGCTGGTCTTTCGGAAAGCTCTGCAAACCTTATTAGAAAAAGAATGTGACTTTTGAATATCTACATGGATCTCCACAAATTTTGTTAGGTAGGAGTGCATGGTCGATGTCATTGGTCGTGTTAATGTGGTCAGTATGGTATGAATTACGAGGGTCATATAAAAAAAAACGATATGGAGGTCAGTCGTATGGAGTTAAGACTGGGACTAGTTAAGAGAATTAAAACCTGACTTACTGTCTTTGGATAAAATCATACAAAATGAAAGACAGTTCCGTAAAGGTTTAACGTTCTATATGGAAAGTTAATCAAGTCTACGATTAACCATGGAGCGTTTAGTCAATATTCATCAAAATGTATATGTTGAGTGTTCCTAGATATCATTTGTTAATCTTGTTGCTAAAAGTGAAAAAAAAATATTGATTATGACCGCGTGTTTATACAGAAAACAGCTATTTACCTCACAGCGTGAACCTCCTCTTGATCATTGGATCAATTTTTGAGCAAAAAAAAATATGACTAAATCATTCATTTAAACAGACCAAAAAAGAAATGAAAAAAAAAAGAAACCGTTGATATCAGGTAAACCCAAAGTATATGAACCTAAGTGCGTTGGTTCAAGGTATATCACCCCAAACAACAGAAAAAATTGTATATGGTTTGCTTGCAATAAGGAAAGCAACCATAATGAAATCCTTCATTTACATGTGTTTAAACATCCATTTTTAAATTCGGCCATTTTTCATTTCTTAAAAAAAACATGTGAGTATTCTTTATATCAGTCGGTGTGTATGAATAACTAATTTTCAAATAACTAGACTAGCTAGAAATATAATGAAAACTTGTTTGAAAAAAAAGAACAAAGACAATACAGAGTGTACAGGAAAATACTATAGTATTACGCCTTATCCGCTTGCGATCGGCTACCCATCTCTTATGTGATCTACAGTCAAATATGTCTTAAAAGACTTGGCGTTTCCACAGTCAGATTAAATAAACAATTTTAAATTTTATAGAAAGCTCCCTACAGTATTTACCGCCGTTAAAAAAAAAAGATTTTACGTTGGTTTATTTTTCTTAATTTGATTGAAGGAAAACTTTAAGTGTTTCTTGAAGGCGTTAAGAAATAGAAAGAGATGTCTAAAAAAAAATGATATTGGTATTTTCAATATATTGATATTTACACTTGGAAAAAAAAAAAAGGAAAATACGAGTTCAACACTGTATATACATAAAGAAGTGAACGCCAGGGGCTCTATCTTAGTGATGCAGTGTACATATACTAGATTAATTCGATCACAGCTGATCGTTACAACGAGACTCTAGGACGCCAATAGTAAAAAAAAATGTTTTACGCCAGTTTTAAAGTAAGAAAACCTAAAAGATATGGCGCTGTTTGTCAGAGGTAATGGCGTGATGTTTTTCTCTGTAATTATAATACCTTTTCCTCTTTTATTCATGATGGTTATTTCACGTCTTGATATTGGTCATTTTTAGACTTCCGACTTCAATTCGAGCAAGTCAAAATGTAAACAAAAAAAAACTTTTGCACGTTTTATCATTAGAAGATTGAACTCCGAAAAGAAAAAAAAATTCAAAGCAAACAGTAATACCGATGTCAAAAACTTCGATGAAAAAAAATTGAACAGCAACAAAGGCGCAATGAATCGATTCTTATCATTAAAAAAAATTCGTCATTCATTTTTCATCCATTTTACTCTGAGTGACTGTAAAAAAAAAATCATGTTAATAAGAATTGATCCATAGGCATCCGTTTATTAAAAAAAAAAAGCGTGTTTTTTGAGTAGATATAAGTTAGTTAATGTTAAGCCCAAGATCAAGTTTGCAAACAGACCAGTGACTAATAGGCCTGATTAAAAAAAAAACTTTGTTGTATGATCAACTGGAACAAAGGCCACTATATTTGAAAAAAAAGAAAATCAGTTTCGCTTAGAATCACCTCGGAGAATAGTCTTCGATCAAGTCTAGATTGGTTACATGATATAAGGAGCCTTAGTTAAAAAAAAAAAAAACCACATTAGACCATCACAACTGCTAGTCATTGACCAAAACAGCAAATAATGACGTAGCGAGTAAAACGGGTGGTTGTTTATTCGCTCTGTAAATGTCAATTAAATCTGTCATCAGTTTTAGTATATTCTTATTGATGTAATTGTCCAGAGGCTAGATTTGCATACGAGGTTGATAGATGAAGCAAACGAAAAAAAAGTCTGCATGGCATTTAGCAATGTCTGCGATGAGCGGTAACAAAAAAAAAGATTACGCTGACTGTCCAGGGAAAGTTCTTTGATAAAGAATAGGTTTTACTCCTAGGCCTTAGGAACTTCGTGGATGGGTGGCCTTGAGGATGCATGCAGTATACAATTTAGCTCATTTGACGGTAAACATTTTTATCTCTTGTTTTAACACAAACTCAAAAAATATTGATTTTGTAGCACACCTCTTGCCAAAAGGTGATAATTCAGAAAGTAGTTGCTGTGGGTTATTTCATTAAAAAAAAAAGCACTGCTTTTAGAATTCATACCCGAGGCTCCATAATACAAAACAACCAAACTTCATTGGGAAGTACCGTACATCTAATATTTGAAATAGAAAAAAAAGAATTCTTTTGTTTTGTTGGGTTTCAATCATATCAAATTTTTATCTAATTACTAATCGCTTGTTTCGAGGCTCAGGCAATGGAAGTATTTCATCCAAGCGGTAATTGGCATAAAAAAGAAAATGTTACAAGAGAATACAATAAATCAAAGAAGAATTATACGCGCGCTTTTTCTATTTCAGTAGTATGAAAAAAAAAATTACTTCCAATACATCTCCGGTCAACGAAAACATACATTAAAAAAAATATCTACAAATATTTTTAATATTCTCATGAATAATTAGCATAAAAAAAATATTTGAAGGTATGTAGCTGTCTTTTAACGGCTGATTGCTTAAAAAAAAGTTTTTCTCGAATCTGAGTAACAACAGCGAATTTTCCTTGTAAAAAAAACTCATTCATAATTGAAAATGGTCTACGCTACATAAAGCCGTAAAAAAAAATCGATGATAATGATCATCTTTAGCATAATCCATTCTCTATGTTCAGGCACTAAACCTTAGGTGAAAAAAATACTTGATTTTGAAATAATCTTATGGTGATGAACGACTTTGTTCAAATAGCCGCGTAATCTACATTCATTTTGCATCACGAAAACGTTACGCAGAACAATGGGCTATATATATTTCAAAAAAAAAAGAAATGGACAATTCATTATATCACTGACTCCTCTCTAACTTCCATTGTTAACACTGCTATATATACATCCTCTTACGAAAACCTTCATAATATTCGTACTGCTAGATTTTGGGAATCTACAATATACACGTTTGGTGTTATCAAAAACAAAGAAGCATGGTGTACTTAATGGTTGGAGGGTAGATAATAGTATAGCATGTAGTAGTTCAGGCCCAAAAAGCCCGACATATCTATATTACCTGTTCTTTTTGCTAGCCAGTCGTGCATATTTTCATTTACTTTTGGAAAAAAAACCATTCTCAGTATTCACAACGTTTAGCGTAGTAATCATCATAAAAAAAATGTTATCTCTATATTATTTATGATTATGATGTTTGATTAACAATGATTACATTAATTATATTTTTTCCCCTTTAATTTTAAATTGTGCCACAAGTGCTTAGTTTTATATATATTTGTAACCCTTTATGTTTTTTTATCAAAAAAAAATTTAACTCACACACATAACTTTATTGATACATGACAAATGCTCTGTAAAAGCGGTATGGATGTAGTTTTGTCGGTAATGGGTGCCATATTAAAAAAAATTGTTCTGACAACACAACTTTAATAGTAATGTAATATAGAAAAAAAAAACATGCATACTATATCAAAACTTTCAAGGCAAACTGTACTTTGATGGTGATATTCAGGATTAGTGAGTTAAATCCCCTTGTTTTATAACACCAATAGATGGTGAAGACACTTGTTTTGGGGCGGCGAAAGTCACAGTTTTAAAAAAAAATATTGGCAGGTTCGATGACAGTCAAACGCGCGGGTACCTTAAAAAAAAAACCAAATTAAAGATTTGTTACTTTGTGGGTTTTAATTTATTTAAGAGAATTCAGCGTGAAATGACTTTCTGGCTGCGCAACGACGCATCAAAAAAAAAGTTGCTGTAGAGGTAAAACACAATGGATTGATAAAAATACAGAAGAGCAAAACTGTGTACTGATAATTGTGTAAGTAAGATTACTAGAAAAAAAAAATCACACATACACACAAAAAAAGATGTCTTGTTGAGTGCATGCAGAATAGTATAGCTAAACATAATTGTAATTTTTTTTATGAACTACCAACATCATACATATCACTTTGTATATAAAGATATGCCCACAACGACTATTTAAAAAAAATTCAACCTACGAATCGTGTAGAAATGTCGCTCAGCGAGGAGTGCATATCTCATGAATAACTTATCTTTTTGTTTTGCCCGTCAGCAAGGAACCTGATATTTTGAATACAAAATTTATTGAAAAAAGTGGCCATGTTGTGGCAGCCAGTTATATGTCAAACTAGAGAGACATTTTCAAGTGCGAAATAAAAAAAAAAATATATTAAAAATATTCTKGAGAGTAAAACAAAACGTTTTCAAAAAAAAATGAGAAAAGCATTCGTGATGAGAGCATCACAGCTTGAGCTGTGAAAACATCTAAGAAATTGGTTAAAACTAACCACGTTTTATTTACTTAAAAAAAAGACAAACATAAAGATGGCTTTTGATTTACATGTTTTTCCTCATCAACTTGAATAATTATCATTTTGCAGTATTTGGATGCATTATAAACTAGTAATCTATGTAAGAGTATTATAAGGATTAGAACAGTCTACCCTACCAAAAAAAAAATTCTCGTGGTCCCGCCTAAGTTTAATTTGATTGATCACACGCTTCCGCCATATTTGCTTCTCATAATCTCTCCCAATTGTTCTTCTTTCATTCGAGTTAACGAAAACAATGAAAACAGTACATAAAATGAATCTAGTTAAAAAAAAGACCTTATTGCTTTATGACCAACATGTACATGAGTCGAGATAAAAAAAAAGACATTGGTTAGCTTCATAAACAAGTGGTTGCTAAGGACTAAAAAAAAATGGATCCATCACACTGAAATCGTGTAGGATCAATTAGATTTGAATGTTCAAAGCTTTTACGCCGGTCTAAAAAAGCACTGCTAATTGTCGAGCGGTTCCGGGCGCTAGTGAAATTGTGATGTTTCGATATCTGAAATGATTTTCGTTTGGTTGATACAAGCCTATTGCAGTGCTTTCAGTGAGTTTCAAACTCTCACTTAATAAAGGTGATGGCTTTGTAAGCCCTTTCAAAGGCTATAATAATGTACATGTACTTAAAAGTATTCATTTTCAATCATTCAAACGGTCCCTTGAGACTAACAACGTTCACAATGAATTTTATTAAATCGCCTGAAAAAAAAAACACGCTGTTGTACGGTTGACAGAAGGGAAATCAAAAACGAAAAAAAAATTAAAACAACTGACTTACATCCTCATGAAAGCCATCTGTAGAAAAAAAAAATACATCACAGAGTTATCAGGGTCTGTGGTCGAATTCACAAAAAAAAAGTACTGTTATTTGTATTTGTGGTAAGAATAGTTAGTTTTTAGAGCGCTCTCCTGAAAATGTTTTGTTGTTATTGTCGATTAACTTAGATCAAAAAAAAAAGTATTAGCAGCGCTAGTTCTCTGTGTGGTCTACTTGGCGATTAATGGCTCCTTGTGCGGCAAATAATCATTCGTACGTCAAGTAGCACTGGAATCGTATTGCTGCGCTAGATGAGATATGTTTAACTCGTCGTTAAGAAAAAAAACTCTCTGAATATGATTCCAAGCCTTTATTTGGATCCAGCGAAAAAAAAATGATGGATGATTTATTTTGACAACAACAACAATCTGACGACAAAAAAAATGAATGTCCTGATCTCTTTATTTATACAACTATTCTAAAAGAAAAAAAAGTATTGCTCCAAGTGTTCAAGTATGCATCATAGCTGACAGCGAATATAAAATACTTTTTTGGCGATCGAAATCGACATAAAGTAACTGATAAAAAAAAAATAACTAYTACCGTATCCAGGATTCGCATCTGAATACCATCATGTCGATAAATAAACCACTGAAAAAAGGTCTGGTTTGTCTATGTATAAAAAAAAAACACATTTCAGGAGAACCATAGTTAGTTAGTTACTAACTATAAAAAAAAAAACTTATTCAAATCAAAGAAGAAGAAAGTATGGACAGGCAAAAAAAAAGATTTTTATTACATTATTCGACACTATAATTGCAAATGCCAAAACTAAAATATTTTTCTTAAAACTTCACCAGTCATACCAGATCACTCATCCAAAAACTTTTGAATTGAGGTCCTGGTAACCATGCATATTTAGTACTCCCCCAGCAGAGCATGCGAATAATTCCATTGAAAAAGCTTGACGGCTTTAAAAAAAAAAGTACAAAGTTACACTGTTTACTAAATATATTTAAAGCCAGTATAAGTCGAACTTTGTTTTACTGAAAAAATGTGTAGCTTTAGGAAGTAAAAAAAATGGGTTCCAGAGGCTGAGGCTGTTACTCAGTTTCGAGGCCTAAAAAAAACGATTTGTAAAATGGTTTCGGCCTCACGGACTCAAAGAAAAAAGGTGCTTCGCGAAAGAATAAATTGAGCCTCTGGAACCCAGGGTAGCATGCACGCTTTAGCGGAGCAGTAAAAACTTGTAAAGTATTATTTCTAGATCAAGTGAAAATGCTATATCAGTGCAAAAACATAATGMGTTTCAGGCTTCAAAAAAAATATTTAAACCACTCATGGACTCAACATTGAGTTTTTGATGGATCGATCAGTCTACCAAAGTCATCAATATTCAACGCATAAAGTAGGACCCAGGCCTACATCATTTCAGTCAAAATTTAAAGTGAAGAAACAATCATTTAAAAGTCAATATTAACCATATAAGATCAGTCTGAGACATATCAATAAGCGAGAGTTGTGACTGTAATATGTACCGTTTAATTTCAAACGTTTTGGAGTCCCACATGTGCCGAATGAAACGATATTGAACAGAAACTAAAGATTGAAGTAATTTGCATTAATTTCGGCCAAGTCGTTTGAAATTGCTCTTAGTTTAAGTTGAAACTAATATATTTTCTACCTTGTTATTAGATTTGACGGGATAGTCGAAGCACATAATGCATCGTCATCCGGTATGTATACTGAGAATTTCCTAAAAAAAAATTCAGATTTAATTGCAATAAATTCTATGTTAAGGCGCCAAAAAAAAAAAGCTTACTAATTTTATTATAGTTGTGTGCATAATTTATATCAAAAAAAAAAATTCCATTACTGAACCCTAACTATTGAAGGCACTTCCTACAAAAAAAACTAATTATCCATGTTTATTCCTTTTTTCCACTTTCCGGGAAAAAGCATCTACGTTAGTATTATCTATCCCATAACATCTCACATTGCCATAAAAAAAAATCTATATTAAAGATATTGCATCTAAATTAAACCATCAAAAAAAAAAAAGAACTTTACTTTCTCGCTTGATAAGGAAGATTCATCCGCTACAACCAGTTGCCTGAGTGCTAGAAAACTACATAAAACGTTAAGACGAGTGTAAATGGTTTTGAGCCCAAATTCTACGCCTGGATGCCACCACATGGCTGCTATAGATACTTTTTACTTGAAATGAGCCCTTTTCACAAGGTCAATAGTGATACAGAGTAACCGGTCAAATATATAAACAAATCTACCATATAAATAAAAAGGTGCGCTATACACAAAGAAAGCGCTATGAATGATGATTTGTAAAAAAAAAAAACATCCATTGTTGAAGTAGAACTCATCATATAGGGTAACATACTATCCTCCACGTGGAAAATCTTTTGCTGAACGATTTCGTATGGCATACGGTTTCAATGGTTGGCATGAATTGACTTTTTTCAGCATTTTGTTGAAAAAAAAAAAACATGGCGAAAAGCAGGACTCAGTGTTACGTTTTGGACTATAAAAAAAAAGGAGGCCAGTTGTTTTTAGAAAGTTGTATGAATGAATATTCATGATTGACTTTCATTTGTTGCTATGATTTTCCTCCAGCAAATGGAATAAAAAAAAAGAATTCCAAGCTGTAACCGAGCAGCTATTGAGTCATGCTTAAAAAAAATATTGTTTAAAAGTTTTGTGTTTTAACTCGGGATCCAATCAAAAAAAAACTATTATGATGGAATTAAAAAAATCCTCAATATGTATCCTTAAAAAAAAGGACTTATTTTACCTCTACCCTGTCATCAAAGACGATTAATAAAAAAAAAATTCATGTCTTAAGTGTTTAGGCTGAGGACAACCTTTCCGTTCAGTAATTCATTTTTATTGACGCAAAACTCGACGCGACGTCAAGCAGCAGGGTTCCTTTTAGACTTTCCTTAGGTGAATGATATCGCACACAACTGAAAAAAAACCATGTCGCTCAGCCTTGATAGTGAAGTTAATAATAAACGGAATGACGATGGACATATTTATATGACTTGGTTTGACAGATGTTCCATAAAGATATCAGTTAAATGACAAAAATGTGGAGTTCTATAAAATGACTTCTTACTAAACGGTGAGTCGAGTATGAGTAATTTTACAACCCATAAAGAACTTAACTTCTCAGGTAAATTGAGTTCACGTCACGATTATCTCAAGTCAATATATTACATTCTTCTTTTAGAAGCTTCACTTTTCTAATTTCAAAAGTGCTCCTCATTGCAATGAACTGTCTATGACAATAACATGCTACTGGAATCAGAACTATATTTATTCCGGTCAAGTCTTTCCTTCATTCATAAAAACTAACCCTTCGGCATTACTGTCATCCATCCTGAATGGAAGATCTGATTGAGTTCTTGAAAAAAAAACCTTGTCAGTGTCTGTTTTTATTAGCACAGAGAAGCGGTAACAATTAACAACTCAGTCAGAGAAAGCATAGCAATGATAACGAAAAGTAAAAAAAAATATCAAAACGTTCTAGATTTAATGGAACTACACACACAAATCAGCTACTTTTACCAAGTATACAAGTCTTGACGTCTTGAATGATCATTATTTTCTTGTTGAAAATCATTTACTTGGACACCAGTTTTTAAATAACGATTTTGAGTCAATTTTTGATTTCCATTACGTTATTGCCAGCAGGAGATGATAAAAAAAAGACGGCACTTTTAAGACCTTCCCTAGCAATTTTTACCCATTATTACATGTCTATTCAAATCCATTTTTTCATTTATAACATATTAAAGATAAAAAAAATCCCTAATCTTAAAAAGACTTAAAGCACTAACATTTATTACTTTATGGTTTTGATTTAGTGAGCATTCTAGTAGTTAGGATGGAATTTACAAAAAAAAATTTATCAGAGAGAACTAGAGACAGTTATACATGCTAGTCTGGCTGCCCGTACCGCGCGTAAAATGTTCGGTAATTTGAGATGGCAAAAGAGTTTTATCTTTAATGTATTTTCATAACCAATACTGATTGGTCTATTAGAAAAAAAATGCTCTTGTGACAGAGGCAGTTGATTAACAGTTTGTTCATGAAAAAAAATACTGGTCAGGTCTCACTTCTTGATCTGATCGACTAGTCCCCTCTATATGATCTGATCACATCAGTGGACGGGAGGGACTGTTCACTCGATTAGTTCAATGGGGTCTCATTGGCAGCCGTTATGGTGTTGTGCTGGTTATCTTTGTTCCTTGTATTTTAAGTCAGACACATAATTTCATTTAGTCAGTTTATTTTTTTCTTTGTGTCATTACGATCTTAAGCCTTCAGTTGATAACAGTTGTGTTGCTTTCACGGCGGTGTCAATGTATTGCGTGGTTCGCGGTTTGAGCCCTCAGTGAAGCCGTAAATTTTTTCTACTTCATTTCTTGAGACTTTTCGAGACTTTCTCTTTTTTTTCTTTTTTCTTGAATAAGTATAAACATTTTTTATGAATAAAGATTAATTTTAAACGCCATTTTTATATTTTTCTCCCTCGTAAATAAACGAGGGAAAGAAAGAAATCATAACGTCACAATCGACCAAAAAAAAAGTTTGACCTCAATCCCAAATATACGGTGGCTATACGGGACAACACACATGCTTCCGTTTTTCGAGGTCTGAACGGATAGAAAAAAGGCTATTAGACTATTACAAGGACCAATAAAGTTGTTTAGAAAGGACGTCAAGAAAAAAAAAATTCAAAGCTAGCCTTGATTCTTTGATTTGATTTGTAAATCCAAAAAAAACAACTGAGATCGAGCGAATTAAAAGTCTTGAAAAAAGGATTAAAAAAAATTTAGTTGAGAAAACTGACTATGTTTCGATGAGAGACCCACAAAAAAAAGGTATGTAAGTAAGTAAATGAGTTGATTGTTGTGGTTACGCAAAAAAAATACCGGTGCCACCACATAACTCGGTAATCATCCCTGCTTCGAAAAAAAACTCCAACACGTATCATCAAAAAAGACGCTAACGTCTACATAAAAAAAAAAGTCATGAGAGTATTGTCTTTAACCTAAAAACTTCAAGGTCTTTCAAGATGAGAAAAGACAACCCATTTGCACTGTTCAGTTCTTAATGCAAAAAAAAGCGCGTCTCTCGTTCTTTGACTTTTTATTGTTTGCGTTTATCAATCTCATTGAAATTAGTTTCGTGTTTGTAACGTAAAAACATATGAAAAATCCGGTGGGATATAAATATGCCCTCAGACCTATACTCAATCTGACGAAAGTAGCAATGCTGAGACAAGGATTTTTTGAAGAATTATTCCGATTAGCAAAAAAAACTGCTGTCGGTTTTATCTCGCTTATCTTATGCCGGGACCCAAAAAAAAATCGACCATTTTCACTTTCCATGCCTCTCTTTCGCACGTTTGAAAAAAAATAAAAAGTCTTTACATTTTTTTATTTCTCTTTCCTGCATAGTTCTCGTCAAACCATGACGTTAAATGGGAATTTGATACGACTAGCTACAAAAAAAAAATGTCTATTACGGATATAGTTTCAGAGAGCCCTACTCAAAAAAAAAAAAGACAACTGATAAGCTACAAAACTGGCTATTTTTGAAACACAAAGCCTTCACTCAGACCGATAATTTCTCTGTTTGATTGAAAGTTCTGTTCTAATTGTCCCAAGCACAAGAATCTTGTTACTTCTTAACTTGTGATAATAAAAAAAAATCGTTTAGCAATAATCTAGCCCATGACAGCCAGATAAATGTGAGAACCGGTGGCAACTAAATTTTACTTAACCAACAACAAAAATGGTTTGCTTGTCAAATTTTTTTAATGGCAATTACCTCTCTTTTCAGATGGCTGAGATGCGACCTTCTGCCAGTGATCAGGTCTCATGGTCTCCAAACGTTCAGGCCGGTGTTTGGTGTGAGAAATGCAACAATCGACTTGTAGAACTAAAGCGGCAAGTCCTTCGTATGATTCTTCCAGAAATACAAAGTTTTTTTCATAGTGGTACAACTCCAAACACTGTAAGTACAAACCATTCCTTTTGTCTAGTAAAAAAAAATATGTAGGATTGTATGTCATTATAAAGTGCGATTTAAACAAAAMAAAAATAGTTGTAATGCGTATCTATTATTGACAATTCAAAGCCTTAAAAAAAAAAATTGGCGTTGACACTTATTCGCTACAAAGCCACGTCAAAGTCCTGTAGATGTTCATCACTGACCTAGCTTGCCTGATGGAATGACATGAATTTGTTGCGGCGAACAATTTAATCAAAGCGATACTTGTTTTAGGACAAAAAAAAATTGTAAATATGACGGAATTCCGCGTCCTCTTCAAATAGTCGTAATCGGTCACAGAATGGTGAAAGAAGTCATTCTGTTGACGTGGGAGCAAAAAAAAATAATAGAAACTCACAATCGATTAACTCGTGAATATGTTTTCAAAAAAAAGATGATTAAAGGGCACGAACTTTTCCAGTAGTGAAATCTTGATTGTAAAAAACTACTAGCGACGATATAGATAGCGACGAAAAGACATTTGCCCGTCTGTTCGTTACATTTATTAATACATTGCGAGTTTCATAAAAACGATATAACTCCTGCATTCTTCATATAGATTTAGTTTGTTAGAACGTTACAAAAAAAAGAAATGACAGCTTTAACTATGTTATGAATTTCGAAACACCGTCCATCGGTCATGACGTAATGTCTTCGCGTTAAGTGCGGGCGTGCGACAAAAAAAAATTAGTAAAATTTTTTTATTGTCGATGTTTTTGGTGACTTGTTTCTTTCAAAGTGGGTATTTGCCTCAAGTTTTTGGTTCACATCCAAATTAAAAAAAATGCTTAATATGAAACGAAAACAACTTCAAAGGCTTTCGGGGTTGAAAGGTGATCGTTGGTGTCAGTAGACAGTCTCAGTAGCATTGATATAAAAAAAATACTTTAAAATTTAATTGAAAACTGGAAAACGTTGAACGGCAATTGTAAGAATTGTTTCAAAGATTGTCGAAACCGCTTAACTAATTATAAAAAAAAAGTCCGGGTTTTTCCTCGTTACGATTCAATCATCCAAAAATAAAAAAAAAGAAATTAAAACATTTTGATTTACGTTCTTTTAAGATAGCATAAAAAAAAAGACTTATATAAACCAAGTATTGTGACGATGTTGTGGAATTGATTAACCTATCAGCAGGTGGTTCTTCACACTAAATGCATGGAAGTCAAAACAGTCGTTGTCGCTCATGGAATGTTTTATTGAAAAAGCAAGTCTATCAAAAAAAATAACACAAGTAGATCTACGAGTGACGAGTAAACCTGTCAATAACTATAATATCAAAGACGGCCTTTGCACGGAAAATCTTTACAATTATGCCCAGCGTGCAAAAAGACAACCGCAAAGCCAGTGCTGTCAATTGTCACTAAAAAAAAAAATAAAAAGGGGTGTGAGATGGGATTCTTTTGTAACCATTGAATTTGGTTTTAGGGCTCCTTGTCGTCACGAATTTTTAACCAAATCCGTCTTCCCGAGTCACATCTGAAGTCATGGCACGCGGATCAATGTCAAGTGTGCTCAACGCATTTAAACCAACTGAAATGGGAAGCGGTTTCTATGGTTCATACTTTAGAAGAATCGCAATTCCTTGCTTATTATAACATACCGGGTTATGTAGTTGGGCCAAAGGCTGACCAAGTATTGAGAAGGCTAGAAAAACAAAAAAAAAAACCAATTACTGGTGAACAAGTAGTAGAACGAGGGCTTGTGTAAAAAAAACCGGAGGAAGCAGGTGCAGCACCATCATTTTTTCACCGGTAAGTATTAGTATGGTATCAGTATTTCATAGAATGCATGCCTTCTGAACGGAATTCAAAAAAAGTGCAATGTCGGTACTGACATAATTTCCTATCACAAAAAAAAAAAGGAAATGCAATCTCCACACCCCAAAATATTTCCCAAAATCCGTTTTCCTTCACAAACGACACATCTTCTGTCTTTTTCACAAGGAAACGAAAAAAAAAAGATTCAGTTATAGAACACAAAACCTCAAGCAATACATTTGAAAAAAAAGTTTTTTTTATTACTAGCATCTATAAAATGATGATAAAATATAAGCGTCAGTGTCACAACTGGGTACGACTTTTAGGACTCTCAACTCGATTTTGTTTTGGCTTTGAAACGATGTCATATGCAAGCATATTCTAATTTTAAAAAAAATACTAAACGACGAACTGTCGAGCAGTCAGTGTAATAATAAATGTTGGGCCGCACAGCTAACATGTATGGATATGTTCCGTTGTAACAGCTAAAAAAAATTCATAAATATACCCTTCAAATCAAAATGGTCAGCTAGGAAGTTGTGTTGTAAAAAGTAGTCTTACAGGTTTTTTGATTCCAAATGCAGACGAAAGCGTCTCGGATATTTTGCAAAATTCGAGCCGTTAATCCGGTCGTGCAAAACATTGTCATAAATTTCCTATTAAGTATCCCAGTAGATAGGAGCTGCGGAGAATTTACGGTTCCTTGGCGATATTTATTGGTTTTGTTCATTAAAAAAAAACATATGTAAAGGAATCTTTTTTGTAAATCTGCATACTTAGGAAAAAAAAGTTACCGATTCGGTAGATCGATTTGTAAAAAAAGTAAATATAAAAAAAAGCCTCACATTACAGAGGGAAGAACTGTAAATAATAAATCGTGAGTCAAGTCGATATACCACTGAGTAAATGGAGGCATGATGGCGACATGAATCTAATCGTTACCGGTACGTTGTGATCACTCAAGGCATATTCATAATGATATAAATGATTTCTATTGGTTGTTGCTGTACCAATTAAAATTGGTTTGTTGTTTGATTGGATGACTTTTCTAGATCGTAATTGAATATGTCCCGTAAAAAAAAAGTGTCTAGTGAGGCAAGAGTTTGCGTGGGGTAATTTTATTGAAAAAAAAACAAAATGATGGTGCATTGAGACAATTTTTGTGTTTATGTAAAAAAAAACCCGCTAATAATCCGAACAACACAGTTTTTTTCGTGTGCGGTGTAAGTAACATTTTTTTAGGTATCAAGTTTTTGCGATGATCGGACAATAAAAAAAAATTGACAGCTTTGATGATAGTGTATGACACCTGTTGCATATAAAATGAGCGTTGATTGGTCTACTAATACTAAACTAACAACTTGTATTAGTAATTTAGATGTGGTTGATTGCCACAAGTTCTCATGGAAAACATGCATACTGATTGATAAATTTATTTCGGACCGTCCTTTCATTTGTTGCGGCAGAGCAGCGTTCTGACACGTCTTGTGGATGATTTACACGTTCGAAGTAATCATACTCAGAAGAACGAACAGTGATTATTATTTTCTTTTAATTACAACTAAAAAAAGTGATAAATTGTCGTTGTACAAATGCAGATAATGACTATGCTTGAAAAAAAACATTTCCACGTGCCTGAATGAACCGGTGTTTCCTGATCTCAAAAAAAAAATATATTTTTACTATATTTCACCAAACTTTTACATTATTTTAAAAAAAAACACGTTTTCTCTACTTTCAGATTGAAAATCGATTAAGAAATAAATAAAATCCTCATCCCACCCCACAGATCTCAATATAAAAACAAGAGAAAAAAAACCGGTTCATTATCAGCCATTAATCAACTAGAATGACTACTGTGTTTGTTAAGACAGTTGTCTGTTATTTGTCGTATGGAAAGTTGCTGGACAGTTATGGACGATTTGTCAGAGATGGCTCATGAAAAAATCCTCTATCAGTTTGAGTGTAATGGTTCGCCAGCTTGGTGAGGCAGTGTCTTTTGATGCAAAAAAAAYTATACATGGTATTTATTAATGGACCTGTTTTACTCTTCAACAGCACCAAAGCATTTTATTGGCATCCTGAACTATTCCTCGAATATTATAAAAAAAATTTTCGGAAATACCTACCCGTATGTTTACAGGGTTTTTTTCAAAAAAAAAGTAGTTAAGTTCACAGATAATCAATTGTACTAAACAGCTCAAAAAAAAAGTATAAAGTTTAAAGATCTCAATCTCAAATTCAGTGAATATAAGACGGAAAGGACTTAACGAATTTGACCGACTGATTTTAGCCTCTTGAAAAAAAATGATATATTGTAATATCAAAAGAATTCGATTGTCACTTTTTATGGCTGTTGAAATAACCGAGGTACTCAGTTTCAAGTGTATTTAATAACGCATAAAACATTCAAATGAACACAATAATTTCTTGAGTGTAAAAATACAAAAAAAAATGGATGCCTCGGGGAAGTGGCTTGACAAGAATCGTAGATTTAAAAAAAACAAAGAGCTTCGCTAATAGAAAAACTGAAATATCGTCTTTCCTAGATTTGTGTGTTTTAAACACTTCAARAGCGAATCACAAACTCAATAACAGAAAGTTCATAGCTCTAAGTACATAAAGAAGATGACTGCACAGGAAATACAAGGCATTTTCTTGCGGTTGATCAAAAACACCGATTTGAGAGAAAAAAAAAAAAAAAAACACGAAAGTTGTGTGTGTCATGTCAAATGATGCCCAAAAAAAAGTTGTTGAAAAGAACCAAGCAGCTGTTCTAAGAGGCGTTTATTTTACAGATATTTCATTCAAATGGTTTTCTCTTCACAAGGGAAATAAAAAAAAAAATATGGCAATCAATTAAAGAATCCTTTAAAAAGCCTTCCATTAAAAAAAAGTTCAATTTACATCATGTTATTTTCTAAATAATTTAATTTCTCACAAAATGTCATGAGTTTTTTGGTTCGTCGCCCAAGTTTCTGTCTGAAAAAAAAATTCTCTAATAAATTTAACAGCATTCAATATTCATATATTATCATATTTTGGTAGTTAGCTGTTACTTCTATTGAATATTCAAGTATTTTTAATGTAAATCTTATTACGATAATTGTTTTTTAAGTCATTCATTGTGAGGAAAAAAAATGTGGTAAGCTGGTATAATCACAATGTAATCTCACCATTGTGTGCCTACACGACAAAAGCAAATGCTCGCGGAAATGTTGAATGAATGAATCGATACAAAAATGTTGTTTGAACTAAGAATTCCTTTTTAGTGCTGCGCAAAAGCTGAATTTATCGTCAAAGAAGAAATGCAAAAGAACGGTTACCAAAAAAAAAAGTCATCCCCCACAGGAGACACCGCAAGTCAGGACGGTCAAAAAAAAAAATCCTTCACCTTATCCTTTCGCGACAAAGTTCAAAGAGCTGCTTCGTTCTTCTAGTCCAACCCTACCAGCAGCGTTACAAAAAAACAGCCCAAAACGAACCGATGGCAAGGTATGAATTGCAATTTCACTCAAATATTTTTGAAATAATAAGATAAATTATTTACATTATCGACATAAGTCGTCCAAAGGATAAGCAATTCTCTTTCATGGGGGAAGGGGACAGGGAGCCCGCCACTAAGAACGGCTGCGCGGAGACTATCTTTCATGTAGATATAAAATAATACTGAAAAAAAAAACAACAGATAAGAATAGACAACATTAACACCTATTTAACAAAAAAAAATTTCAAAACATTCTAGGTCAAAGTTATGATGCGAATATGCCCGAGTTTTATTGGAGAATCAGCGTCTGTGATGAAAGTAGACAAGAAACGAAAGCAAATCACACTCTACGATCCTAGCACTGCGAGCCATGTATCAACAAAAAAAAAAAAAATGGGAGTGGCAGCGCCTAAGATATTCGCTTTTGATGCGATATACGAGGCCGATGCAAAACAGAGTGAAGTGTGTTCGGGAACATTAAAAAAAATCCTGCAGACTGTTGTTGGAGGTTCTGATGCGTGCGTGTTCAAAAAAAATCATGCTGGGCTAGGTACTTCCTAAATACTGTCGTTACTGAAAAAAAAAATGTAATGCTTCTTATTCGGATGAATTGTTGAAAAGCTTTAAAAAAAAACATGAAAATAGTTTGAAACTCTAATAACATTTTTATGGATTAAAAAAAATGTAGGAAAGACGTATTCTATGATTGGTCGAGATGAAAGCGAGCAGACACTCGGAATGTTACCTACAGCTTTGTCATGGCTTTTTCGACTAAAAAAAAAACAGAAGCAAAGGTTAATCTCACAAATGTGATCATGCACAATAGATTCCCTTTCTTACTGATTGTTTTAACTTGAATTCAGGACGGGTACAAAATTTTCTGTTCGGGTGTCCGCTGTCGAAATAGTTGGTAGATCAGAGAATTGGAGAGACTTACTCGCGTCTACTACAGGTATGATAACAGACGTTCTAGGAAAAGCAACGAGATATCATTCAGATAATCCAAGTGGAAGTAGGCTCAGTTTTCAACGGTCAGGAATTCACTACACCGACACTCACTATTGGGAAAAAAAAACACATCACAGCGTACAAAATACCGACTGTTGAAAACTGAGCAAAAAAAATTTACTAAAGTAAAGTTTACTTCAAGTGAAAGATTCAATCAATATATTTTAGGTTCTGATAATGGCAGCAATGAGACCCCTGCTCCAAGCGAGTTTTTAAGGGACGACAGGAATGAAGGAATTCAGGTTGGAAAAACTAAAAAAAAAAGTGTCCATATAATCACCCGGATTGTCACAATCCACGGAAAAAAAAAAAACCATTGCTATTAAATCGCTTTAGGAAACTAAAACATTGGAAAAAAAAATTCGGGACTATTATATGGGCACTAAGGCTAAGTGATTCATTAAAAAAAATCAAAAACGGCACGATATGTCATGGCCGCTGACTAGGGCACAAAAAAAAAAGCACTTAAACGAGGTCTCGAAGGACAGCGCCTCTGTATAAAAAAAAACCATGTTTTTTGCAAGAGTTTTTTTGTCATAAATAACATACAAAAAAAACTTTCAAACTTTCGGACACTGCCATACAAGCGATCTTCGTGAAAAAAAAGATGTAAGGCCTTTGAGGTCTCGTTTCCATGATTCGTCACTAAAAAAAATATATTGACTGTCGTGAACTACCACAATTTTTTGAAAGTCGAAAAAAAAAAAGTAAAAACTAGTTTTGGCTGCATTTTATGTAGTTGATGAAAAAAAATGAGTTGCGCGCCTCGTCAGCAGAGAAAGCAGCTTTTTATCAAAAAAAAGCACTTACTGCAAGAACAAGATGTGCTTCTGATAAATCGACTGGTGAGTATCTTTTGTTATTATACGAACGTATTCACTATATATACCTTCCAACATTAATGTCTTACATCAATGTCCAAATAAAAATATTTATAAGTCAAAAAAAAATCAGATAAAATCTATAGCTCAAGTCAAGTTTTTGAGCATTAAAAAAAAAAAATAATCTTTATTAGAGCAAGTTTTCATCCAATTGTATGAAAAAAAAATACTTTTGCAGCAACATATTTTTCTTGAAAAGTTAAAATTTTGGCTGTGAATATCGAATGCTGACGTTACACTCATTTGTTTAATGATCTTTTTGCTCCTGTGCAGAAGGACTGGAAAAAGACGAAACCAGAAATTCACATATGTTTTTCACAGTTCACATTTATCAAGTCGAGAAGCATTCTAAAAAAAAAAAAGGTAAGAAGTAACATTCCAGCAGATGTCTGTTGTGAAGGGGCACTTTTTGAAATAGAACCATTCCTAATTCCCATTTTTTTAGGAAACTCATGAAAACTTAATGTTCTTAAACGCACTCTCGCCAAAAAATAAAGTGTTAACTATGCATGACGAACGATTTTTAATGATGCCATTGTTGTTTTACAGTAAAAAAAAGAAGGTCTCGGTTGCATCTGATTGACTTAGCAAGTTGTGAAAAAAAAAAAGGGTCAAAGAAAGAAGGTGGTGCCAGTAGCATGTCTCTAGAAAAAAAAGGAAACGTTATCATTGCACTTATCAACGGTGCTAAACATCTCCCTCACAAGTAAGTCGTGAAACTACGTATTTGTTGGTACTCGTAAATCTATAGCATATTATTAAATAACATGTATGTTCCAGGGGGAGTAAGATAACCCGAATGCTTCAAGAGTCAATTGGAAATCCATCCTGTCGTACAACCATGAAAAAAAACGTATCGCCATCATTGCCATTTTACAACGAAACACTTGCTATAGCACACTTGGCATCAAGACTACATAGGCTCAGGAAACGCAAAGGAAAAAAAAAAAACTATGCGCTTATTAGAAATGAAGGCTTATAAAATGATTTGAAAAAAAACCGCCATTGTTTTGTCTAAACTCATTGACAAAATACTTTAGAAAAAAAACAAAATTTTGTGTTTTTTTTTTTACTAGTGCCGAACTTTCCAAAAAAAACCGCCCTCTACAATGTTGTTGTACGTATCATGCTCAGGAATAAAAAAAAGAGGATATAACGAACACAACATTGAAGGCTGGGGCCATCAAGAATTCAGTCGTGTTTGTTATTTACACTTGTAGTTACATGCTACATTGCTTAGCAGAAGGCTTGTCCAACGATCCATGCAACAATAATTTATCAATAGATGTCCTTCCATTAATCGTAACTGTGATATAATGTTAGAGCTGTTTTATAAAAAAAATTGATAGGGCTCAAGTACCAGTTCATCAGGCGGCGAAAGTTCCTGTGATGAATCACGGATACGAAAACCGCGACTTCGTACAGCAGAGCCTCGCCTTCGTACAACAGCAATTCCAGATAGGTTACGCGAGGACTGCGCTCAAGGACAAGGTGATAATTCCGACTACAACTCAAGTACTGGAGAGGAATCATGTGATACAGTGATATATGTGGGTCCCGACGGGGAGCTAAGTGACAGAGAACTCACCGATCATGAAGGACCTCCATCATTGCATCACTACAAACAGAAGAACACCTCTCCTTGGGAAGACTGTGAAACAACACGTTCTTTGAAACAAAAAAAAGAGGCAATTGAAAACCTTGATTTAGACGAAGAAGAAGAAACAAAAAAAAAAAAGACTCCTACACCAGATGTGAACATTGATGAAGAAACTAAAAAAAATGAAGAGGAGACAAATATTGCAGTTGATACAATGGAAAATAAAAAAAAATTGACGTGTTCTAGCGAACCAAATGTAATTGAGCTGCAAGTAACTTTAAATCGTATCCCTAGCTTACAAGATGTCATTGAACCAACCGCTAAAAAAAATCAACCAGATAATATTCCTACTATACAGAATGCCACTGAACAAAAAAAAGCCATAAATCAACCAGAGAAAATCCCAAGCTTAGAGGACGCTTTTGGACCAAATGTAACAGAAGAGCCAGATGATGTTCCCATCATAGAAAAAAAAAAAAAGCAAACCACACATACTCATTGCAATGCTGCTCTTGATGAAAAAAAATTTGAGGAACTTCAAGAACTCGAGTTTCTTGAACAAACATTAAAAAAAAGTCTTATGTCAGATGAGGAATATGAATTTCAAGAAAAAGACAAAAAAAAAAATTTCACTGAACATCCCACGTTTCATCCCACGGATTTTAAAAAAAAAGGTCAAGAATTAACAGAAAAGGAGTTAAAAGAAACGGCCAAGTATGCTCTTAGCAAGACTGAAAGTTTACTTGAAATTGAGCCTGAAAAAAAAAAAAATTTGGAGGATTGGAATGAGTCTAGTGTTGATATCGTTTCAATTATGAGATGCCACAAACCAGCACGTGTCATTCATTCCAATCCAGTTGAAAAAAAAAAAGAAAGTAAAAAGAGTCACACTTCAAAGTCGAGCAGTTCCAAAAAAAATTCATCGGATGCCGAAAGTATCGTCCTTCCAGAGAAACCATAAAAAAAATTTATGACTTGTGACGCTGTTAATGATGATAGTGATAACTCGGCCATGAAATCCATAAAAAGACATTCTGGCAGCTTTATAGTAGCGAGTTCAAATGGAGACATCAAATATCGATATGATGTCACTGCTAAGCTGATTGAGGCATGTCAACCTGAAGGGTACTTTTCTAACTCAGGACAGTGTTTCGTTCTGGAAGACCAGCAAAGCCCAGACGAATTCTATTACGACGATACAGAGAAAAAAAAGGGCGAAAAAGAAGATGACACAGAGACTGTCACTGTGTTATACTCTGATGAGCGTGGTCAGGGTATCGAGAAAAACATCTCAAGAGTTCTCTCTGATGACTCGCTGTTTCCTGACTTGGACCAAAAGCTCGACAACATCAACCCAGTCGATCGTGATAGAGAAACAGAGATGTCACTCACACTGGCTGACGGAGCTAGTGATAGCCCTGATTCCGATCAAGATCTCCCTCCAAGATCACCGGCCATGGATACTCCTATGAAGTTATTTTATCACCTGGTTCCGTCTCCTCATTCGTCATCAAATGAGGATCTAGATGACAGCCAATCGGCAAAGGTGAAGGTAACGGCGTCACTTTCCCCTATACAAGAATGYCCATCTAGAGAAAAAAAAATAAATCGATCAACGGATAGCCTTTCAAATGAGCTTAGGGATCAGAACTATAATGTTCTTGAAACGGCCACTAAAGATATAAAAATAAATAAAAAAAAAAGAGAAGCTAATTCACCTCCATCAAAATACTTCAGAACTGTAAAAAAAAAACAAAAACAGAAACYTCCAGGAGATAAACACGAGTTGCATGGATTGATTCAGAGACTTGTTACTGAGCAGTTAATGGAGGCTCAAGGGATAACTGGAGAAATAAAGATTTCTCGTCCTCAGCCAAGGCCAGCTGTTGAGCGTATGACACGCGGTAACAGGCGATGTAAAGTCATTTCCCCAAATGATTCAGCCAATCAAGATATTCTGCTACCGCCACTTAAGCCTCATAGACGTTCCATGTTGGACAAAGCACGTGTGATCCGATCACCAAAACTTGGTGTTCGACGCGACAAGGATTATGGGAGTGACGTTGTTAGTTATCAAAGAGACTACAATGATGACTCTAGTGATAGTTCACTCACAACAAGAACAGAGCCATGGTCGTCTCCGGTACGACCACGCCCTGTGCACCTCATTCCTATCTCACAGACAAAAAAAATAACGTTCTTGGGTTGTGAAACACCCGCTCAATCCCACAATACCAAAGTCGTTCCGGTTGATAATGATAGTCCAGTTGAAGCAAGCGATGAAAAAAAAGAAACCGAAAATTCTCGATTTAAACATGATCGATATCAGGAAAAAAAAAACCAAAGCGAACCTGAAGTACAAAAAAAAGGAAGAAGAAGAAAAAAAAATGATGAACGTGGTTATGTGAGCGAGGGTGATCATAAAAGCAAAAAAAAAGACAGTTTTGTGACATATGACGGTTCTGAACTATCAGAAAGCGAAGCAGAAACACGACGTTTGCACCATAGTGAACCACATGTAGGGCGCAAAAAAAACCTGAAACGACCAGCCATCAGCCGTGAGAAAATCAATCCCAAGACTCCTTACGCACCGCAGGCCGAGTACAAAACACGTCACCAGCATCAAAAAAAAACGCATAAAATTATCTACAGATTGTCTGGAGAATTTACAACAGTTGCCAACACAGCACCAGCTAGTGGTAGTATGTCTGGAATTTCCTCGTCTCCAAATCGAAGAATTAGTTCAACAAGTACAGTTAACAGCTGCCCTGGAATGGCTTTAGGTGAAAGCACGAGTACCGTATGGGTTCTAAGTGAGCCTGCAATGTCTAGTGAAGAAATGACAACCGATGAGCAATCAGTGCCAGGGACACCAGTCAGCTTGCAACGCGGGAGAAGGCTGAGTAGATTGCGATTGTTTAGGTGAGAGCAAAACATGGAGTTAATCAAGATTATATGCAATATATATAAAAAAAATTTATTTGTAGTACTCGAACTGCACAAGAGGTGCTTTTTAGAAAAAAAAATAACTTAGGAAGACATCAATACATAATATAAGATATAGATAAAAAAAATACCTAATGTCCTCAAGATCAAAGAGAAGTGTATCTCAATCACATTTTTCACCCTGATATCTCTTCAGTCGTGACAGGGGAAGTGGTTACAGCAGTGGTCACGCCAGTGACAGTAGCGTCAACGAAAGTCCACGCCCTCGGCAAAGTAGAGTGAAGGAGCTTCGAAGATCAAAGTCAGGTATATTACGAAAAAAAAATTTTTCTTTCTCCTTGGGGTTTTACAGAGCCAATAACAACAAAAAAAACTTTTTCTTATTGATTTTACAGCTTCAACTAGATCTGATGCAGCCAGCAGTAGTGGCTATGAGAGTATGCGGAATGATACAAGCCATGCGAAAAAAAACAGCTGTAGTGAAAGAGACTCGAGTAAAAAGAAAAAGAAAAAAAAAAAACCTGTTCCCAGTCTAACTTGGAAGCTCAGCTGGTAGAGCATAAAAAAAACATGGATTCGAATCCCAGCGATGCATAACCTCTTTCTCTAGAAAAAAAACTTCTACCTTTTTTATTTAATACAATTGCACGGACGGCATATCGGAAGAGAAGCCGTGTTTCACTCTTCATATCCTTTYGATATTGGTAGAAAAAAAAAAACGAAGCAGCTCTGCCCCACCCTCCAATCGACGTAGATCTCGATCACCACGTCGATGGTTTAGTCGGAAGTCACTGGACGATCACGTGGAGATAAAGGTGTATCACGTGGATGACATTGACAAACTACAGAAGTTCATGCGTTCTGAGGTAGGTAGTCTGCAACCTCAGCGACCAACACAAAGGAGAAGGGACAAGCGCTGTTCAACACGTTTTCCTTTCTCTATAAAGGTTCCAAACCCTAGGACTGAATTGAATTTCTTAGATAAATACGCAAACCTTTCTGCCATTTTTCCAATGGAAGTGAATTGAAATAAAGCTATGTTCACATAAATATACGTAGAGCAGCACGAATATATTGAAATTTGACTTGTAAAATTTAAAAAAAAAAAGACTTGTAGTTTATCCGTAAACGCGTTATCATGGTGACAAGAAAAAAAAAAAACAACAAACTTGATGAGGGACTTAAAACAAAGCTCCAAAAAAAAAACCAGGTCTAATCAATCTCGAAATTCAGAATCTACAGTTAACAATCAGGAAAGGGTGCGGGTAGTCTTTAAATGTAATTCTGTTTACTTAAACGTTTTTGAACTATCCTCGTTACTATCGAATGCCGGTAACAAGCTGTATGGAAAGTCGATCTGAACTTTCTTTTTCTAAAGGCTAATGAGGAAAACTACATAAAGCTCCACGGTCTCAAAGAACAACAGACGGTCCTGAAAGCTGAAAAAAAAAGGTCCCGTCAGAGGCTAATCGACAATGAACAGCGATGGAGTAAAAAAAATAAGTATATGTAATATTYGTTTTTTAAAGTATAAGTTTTCACTCCTGAAATCTCTTGATTTGCAGTAAGAGCCGAAGGAATGTTTCCAAGTGACGATCCGAGGCTCGCTCAAGCTCTGGAGATGGAGAATGTTATGCTGGAGAAACGAATCAAAGCTTGCAAGTCTCACTTAATGATGGTTACCTCGTAAAAAAAACTTGTTACAGAAGTCTAAATTTGTTTACCTCTCATAGATCCAAAAAAAATAATTTTATATGGTTTTCGAACATTTTGCATACTGTAATGAAAAAAAAAGGTATATTTCAAGTTTTGAAATTGGTGAAATATATTTTTAGAAAAAAAACATTATTTGTAAATCAAAAAATATATTTATTTTTATACAATAAAAAAAATTGTCTATGCTTGATACA